AAGAAGGAAGTATGCAGGCATTCGATCGACTAAGTTGAACTGAATCAAACGGAAATTCTCGCGTTCTCTGGTCAGTGCATCAGAACAAACATAGTATAATATGAATAATAGAACATCATTATGAAAATTAGTATTTATCATGATTACAGTCAGATGGAAATTTTCAAATGCACACTTACGCCTGCGACACAACACACAGCATGATAGCAGCATGAAGACGAGAGGTATGTGTAATCTGAAAATGATTGAACAGACTAGTCAGTGATCAGGTTAACAAACTTGTTAGAACAAATAAGACACTTATTGAGACAACAGAGATAGGATAATATTGTTGTGATCATTGACTCACTTCATCTCAACTGGAGGCTACTTCGGAGTTACGCTCGATCGACTGAGCTGAGTTGAGCTGAGCTGAACTGTGATTCACAAATATATATTCTAGAGTTCATATGGATCGACAGGAGGACATGTAGTCTATGCATTTTAGAATGAAGCGATTCAGTGCTTCTTGTTGAATCTCATGATTGTTTTGTGGGGCAAATATTAACTGTGTGAACTCAAATGACATGAATGAGAATCTTGTGATGAGTGAATATAGGTCACAGTTCTCCTCTGATCATGCAGTCAGCGAAACATGCATAGCATGCTTGGCCTAGATAATAATCATATTGATAATAATAATAATAATGATTCCATCATTTCAACCCATATTTTGACTAAGCCTAACTGAAATCTATTGAGTATTCGATTTCTGGATCACTCACTCAGTCAAGTTTTCTCTTGAGTGATATGATTATAGGCTGAAGTGGAGTTAAGCTTATTCTCGCTTCACCTGGAAAATGAGTGGTGAATTTCAAGGAACACAACATGAATGCAGTCCCAACAAAACCACAAGCATGACGCTCTTCACATGACATCATTCATCTGTGAGCCCGTTATCCATTTGAAACACCTCAATCACTCAATAATCTGTCAAACACACACACACTTAAGCAACAAAACGAAGCGTTATGTCGAGTACACTCACTCAAGTGTAAACTATTTGTGGATTTCCTCTCAGGAAATCTAAACAATATTTATAAGGGAAACTGTCAGTGGTATAAACCAAAGGGTAGATTTACGCGTACGATAGTCAGTACAGGATTTGTCTAAAAGACAACACTATAAAATTTAATTACCTTCTATCGTTTTCTCATAGTCTTTCTTTTGTCAATGCCTGTTACCTGAAGTGTGTTAAGCAGTACATTACGAATATGAAGAAAAGTGATGTACGACTAATATTATGTATATTTCAGATTTGGTTGATCTTGAATGCCGTGTCAATTTGAACTCAGTTGGATTGTTCGCAATGTCGACATATGGAAAGAAAATAGAAGAACACGCATCACTGCATCCAATACAATTTTTCTGCGACTCACGACACAGGTATCACAATTCAAATACACACACCAATTGTCATGTCGCAATTTGAACATTTTCGTTTCCATGTCGACATCTTAGGACTAGTTGAAGTTGGTGAGTGCCTGTTCGCGTCCGATCTGTATTTATTTCCATAGTCAAGTCAGAGAGTTCTGCGAAGGAAAGGTGGAAGCGCTTCAGATAAACAGAATGGTGAGTGCATCCGCTCTCGACCACCAATCATCAGTCACAGCTTCCATACCATTCCTCAATCAGCCACTTCACTCCTTTGCAACAACTTACTCTGTAATGGGAAAATGAGGCATAAGCACAATTACCAACAACGCCTCCCGTCTTTAATTACACACTTTCCAACACACATATGAACCAGTCAAACACCACGCATGTTCTAAATCTCTCACTGATTATCGCTATATCAACACCTATTTTGATTAGTTGATGACCAACATTTTCGACAGACAACCAGTGACATGATGATAATGTCGCACTGCTTTAAGCTTCAATGTGTGACTATTTTATTGAGGTGAACTTGACAATATATATACTCAATATATCTTGTTATCGACTGACTGAATATTGCGATATCTGCTACAGTATGTAGGTAGGTAGGTGCGTGATACCTGAGTTGACGTAGAATAACTCGGATGTTGTCTGATAAATACGCATAAATACAAAGCAGTTCTCAGTGATCACTCATTTTCTGCATATCATATTAGTGATAAGAGATTAGAAAACTTTGAGAGCGATAGTATTTATTTTTAGTTTACAATAAATGTCAATCATAGCAATAAATACCAGTCCTAACTGGAGAGGGATATTTCGTGCCACACACTCCTGAATCATGCTTCTACATCATTAACACTTCATCAATGACTGTGGAAACGGAAACGTTCCTCATATCACTGACGATAGAAACATCTGCGACGGTATCCGTTACCATGAGGATAAATGACACATCGATAACGTCGTTGGTGGTGATGATGACGTTGATGACGTCGGTTTCGATGACGGCGACGACAACGGCGTTCTCCACTCCTATTCAAATCATCATCGTCATCAAAATCATCGCAATCATCATCGTCATCATCATCATCATAATCGTCTTCATCATCATCGTGATAATCATTATCATACTTTCCACGAAGTAGTTCACCCACTTCACTCACATTCATCGAAGTCAAGTCACTGTCGTCAATGATGTCTGTGTCATCCGGAGTTTCATTGGCTGCTCCATCACCTGTGTTCGTGTCCGAAGTTTCTTCGTCATCCTCATCACTGATGTCACCAGTACCGTCTGAAGTAAGTATAGCAGTGACCGGAGGAGCAGCAGTCACACCATCTCCCACAATCTTGCCTTCTCCATCACTTCCTTGTTGAGTGACATTCGGTTCTGTAGTGGGAAGAAGAAGAAGAAGGCATGATCATCGACAACATTCCGAATGCTCAATCACACACATTCCAGTAAAAATACGAATGAGCCAACCAGCGCACACACACATATCTATCCAAATATTCATGGGTTACATGCAAAAGTGACTACTGTTCAGCTGAGTGTAAAGTCACCACATTCCACAGACAACCAATAGCAGGACCAAAGCATTCCTCTCACTTGTATGCTCGTCAAAATACTTTCCGATGTTCGTCTGTTTTAATGAATGAACCCCATGTACCAACTGAGATGTTCACTGTAGCATTATCTTCAGTTGGAAATTATTTACTCCTCTTATTTCTCTACTTTCTCATTAATTCAAATATCTGCTATCGTAGATGAGTTCAACCAACGCCTCTCAGATGTACACTCATAATTTCTGACAAATATGCACCAACACGAATCGGTCTCTCATCGTGTGCACATTCTCAGCCCAATGGTTGACAAACTCACACAATCACACTCATCCACATCCACAGACACAGACACAGACAGACATATCTACCTACCTTGATCACTCCAATCGACAGGTATCGGTTCGGCCAACACATGTTGATGGAACACCAGACTCAGCAGTAACGTGACGAAAATTCGCATTGTGATTCTGTTGGAGAGGAAGGATGTGGACATGAGAGGAGTTCACATGTCGTGTGTGATAATGATGAATTTATGTACATGGATATGAAGAGAACGAAAAAAGCAGTGATTGGTGAGAGCGACTATCGTCTACTCACACACAGTGCATACACTTACTCAACTCACTATGTGTTCACGTCCTCGGAAGCTCGAAATCAACCTCACAAGTAGTTGAATCGACACGAAACTCGATCAAATTCTCGTGCTTATATATGTGCACATGTGGTCGATTGGATGACCTGGTGAGAGTGTGTATCACGCAGTAGTGGTAGTGTCACTACAATCAGTTATGATATTCACCTGAACACTTTCATTGCACACGTACTCAGGATTGTCCTCGAATGACCTCAGATGGCGACTTCGTGTAACATTTACTTTAGGTGAGATTTGTCTTTAAAAGAATCACCTTTTACATTTGGATCGTTATTGAAAATTTAGCATATGTGTTGTAAGTTTTTTACGTGATTTACCGTAGCAGCAGACCGGAACCATATTTCAGATAACATAGCTCTAGATTTAGGGTCGTCATGTGCGAAGTAATAGTCTGAGAATGCAAAACGGCAACCGTCAGTAGACCACTGCTGTAACTGAGAATAACCAATCCTGGTCCCTCAACATCGAAAAGCAAGTTCCTTGATGATGTGTATTTTTACTCCTCTCGAAAACATGAAAATTAGAGGCATCATTTTGTCATGAATACTGCAATTCAACTGATTCACTGAGTTCGAAATAACTGTTCCGTATAGTGAATTTGAACAGTGTTACTGAGCGACGGGTTTAGCTAGGAAGATGTGATGCATTTTAATAACATATTTCTGACAGGCTTAATACTCATCTACTCATGAACCCAATTTATGCGGAAAAGGATCAGTTGACGAATAATTGAAACCAAGAAGAGTGTATGAATACAACTCCCAACATGTAGGTCATTGTTGACAGTGTTTTGAACCACATCATGTATACGTAGCGAATAATCATCGAGTAACTTGATGGAAGACGTACTTCGCTTCCATGCTGAGCTTTCAGTGAAAGATGAAATGGCATGATTTGCACAAGTGTGTTGGTTGGTTAGTTCGTAGCCATATGTTGATTGATAAAAATGACAGGAGAGTTTGTTAATGTGTGTGTGATTGTATTTTTGTGTCATACTACCGACATCGATAGGCTGTGCATTTCACAGCTGTTTGATACACAAAGTGTCTCACTCATCACATATGATTTGAGACCACAGACGAAGTGATCACTGCCAGATGTTCTCCTGTTAACTCCACATGTAAGAACAAATCTCGTCCGTATGAATTACTCCAAAATAAACCCTGTAGTACTCCTTTGTCAAATGGATTGAAAGATGTAAACTTCTGATAATATCACTCGTGAATATCCAGGTTAGCAGTATTTTATTGGGCAAGTGCACTTGATTTACAATATTATGAAGAAGACATCTGGAGTAGAATTCGTCAGTTTGGTTGTAACAGACGGTCTTGGAAAAGTCATATGAACAGTAGAATGTCGACAAATGCAACATTTGTTAGAAGCCAAAAAGAGAAGAGATGGATCGAGTGGTCAACAGAAGTCAAGCTGGATTGAAAAAGAATTGACACGACAAAGTTGGATGGGTTTTGTAGACTGCCTACTGAAGATTATTCACAGATGGGAGGAGAATTCAGTTGGACCAACATGGAAACTGAATCGATCTGTTGTTGATTGTCTGAGCCTGTATTGTAAAATATTACCTAACACAACAATACACTTAATAGATAACTGGAATTTACAATTAGGATTAATTGACAGAGACACTGAAATCCACTCCTAATGAGAAGCAGGTGAGAAGAGAACGAGAGAACAACAGCAAAATGATTGTTAATCCTATCACGAAGAAATATATTGTGTGCTGTTTCAATTATTTCGGTGTTTTGTCATCAGTGTATATCTGAATTCTATTGACGCCAACACGATAATCAACGTGACGAGTGATGTTTCCGTATTCATCATTTCATCAACAAAATATTTTGCTTTTTGCTTGTATGAGAGGTGTATGTATAGTAGAAAATTAATTTGGTCTGAAGGCGTGCAACAGATAAACAAAACTAATTCACACTCACCACACTGTTTACCGCCTTCCCCTATGTAGATTGCGAAACTCTCCTGAGGCACATACATACACTCACAGGTGATTCTCCAACAATAGTGTCAGTCACCTACACTGTTTCATGGTTTCTCAAGCAGAAAGCACGTGGTGACAACCAACAAGAATGATCACAAGAAGACGGGATCAAATCTGTGTCTGTGAGATTCAGAAAACAGAACAAGATTCGTTTATATATCAGTATATCTGAGCTTTATTTCAATATTTTACATTCTGAAATGGATGTACAGAACCTTTGTTCAGCCCATTGTCTTTTTATTATTAACCTTGTTTTAGAGGCATGCGTTCATTGTATGTACCTTGTGTCTATCAGCTTGGTATTTATGAACATTCTGCTTATTAGCCAGTGATTAGCCGGTGAGCACCATTCATTCTTGTTTCACTCTCATTGCTGTCAACGACTGGCATATGCTACTGATTACTAATTTAGAAAGTAGGTAGTAATGATATATGTGTAAAACTTGGGCACTGTGGTAGTAAGTAATTCCATATTAGTTTGTTTATTAGGTATATCACACAGTGAATCAGTATTATTTACTGGATGACGTTTCGAACACAATTTATTGTTGTTCATAATCATATCAATTGTGATCACACGACTTTGTTTTTCTCCAATTTGTGGTAGGGGGAGTAGAATTTTCCATATATCGGGAACAGGTGATGAATCATTCCTATTACATGTATTTGCAGTTGGTTCAATAAACAAAGCTTCTTTTATCAATCTCTCCCTATACCCTGTGACATTAGATTTTAAAACTGTCATCCTATCCCATCCTACTGTGTGGTTGTGTGTAACTGCATGTAGTGCTATAGCTGAACTATTCTCTAGATTTCTTATTTTATTCGGGTCAACCAATCTAGATTTTGCTAAGTTTTTATGTTCAGCTAGTCTGACTGCCCCTGTTCTACTAGTTTGACCTATGTATTTGACCTGACAATCATTGCAGGGTATTAGATAAACTAAATTGTTTTGTTTTAAAGGCTCTATAGGATCCTTTAGCCGACAAAGCTTGTTTCTAATTGAGTTTGTGGGTTTGAATGCCAGCCACTTTTATTCCTGCCTTGTTAAGAATTCTGCTTAAGGTTTCTGAGGTTCCTTCCTTGTATGGAATTACTATTGATGATTTAGATTCCTTATTGTTGGTGTTGTCTTGCGCATATTTGGCATGCCTGTGGTCATTAATATTATTATTATCATCACCACACTACTATCATTATTTATTTTATTTTTATATTTCCTTGTTAACACTGTTTCACTGTGTGATACATCTAATAAACAAATTAATATGGAATTACTTACTACCACAGTGCCCAAGTTTTACACATATATTAAAATGCCAAATAGTGCGTCATTTAACAATTCAGTTTTAAATAGTACGATTTTCAGCAGAACAGCGTGTATTCATGCTGAAAATACCTTCAGCTAATTACATTCACATCATTTACACATTTTGAAAGGGTAGATAGATGGAGAATTGTGGTATCAGGTGAAATTGTGTTTCAGTGGAGTAGCAATATTTTCTGGATATTTTCTGGAGGATCCCTTCCCTGAACAATTGGCCAAAAAGGAATATTTTGTGCACCTGATAAATAAAAAATCAATGATCTTTGTCTATCGTCGGTAACACTAAACTGTGGCGGTTAGAGATGTTATCGCTGAATGAAGCGAATACTGATAAATCTCCTTATCAAAGAATACTCAATGCGTTTGTTAAATTCACATACTTTGAGTCAAAGTCTGTGTTCACCAAACCACAGTTTGTTCCATCTTACTCTGGGACTGTGAGACATAAACGTCGAAACCTAAAGATTTGATGAGTGTATTAGTTTTGCCGTTCATGACTTCATTTAACGTTTAGTGTTCAGTACAGCTATGTGGCCGGCATTGAATGGGGTCCTTGGGATGCCAAGAATCACCCTTGCTAGACTTTTGATGGAATGATTGGAAATCATTCACACTGTTGAGGATATGTTCACAATTCATCATCATGCAGAGTGTGAAATTCCCCATCGGTCATTTTGTAAGATTCTCATCCTGTTCATTTCCGTTGACCTGTCATCTCGTTGCTCAATTAATTAATTAATTTTATATTTGAGGCGAAAGTAGAATAGATGTACTTCACTGTAGACCTCTAGATGGCAGATCATTAATTCTTGAATAATATTGAATCTTTCAGATGAATTCTGTTCTCGAGTGGAAATTCCATGTGTTTGGGATCAAGTTGTGAATATGATAAATCCAGTTCACATCTGCATAGAATGTGGTGGTCCATGCATAATTAGCCAACATCTTTGCGTTCTAAGTGGTCCTATAAACAACAACCGAAACAAATTAAGTAAACGCAAAAATACACACAAATATATACAGGCAAATAAATGAGATGGAGACAAAGTATACTCCCTATTTCACACACATGCTCATCAATTCCTTGTATTTCAAATGTCTAATTGAGGAATAAACCAGATAATATTCTTACTATTCCTGTGTATCATCGTTCACACTCTTGTATTCGTAGGTATTTTCTTTCATAAACTGGTTTCTTGGCAAATACAGTGCCATATAAAAAGGAGATGTTTATTTTTCTGCAACGCTTTCTGAATGAGACAAACACTGCAACTTGAATAGTTAAACGTGCTTATAATCTTCTATGAATTGACACGGAAGACCAGTGTGCTCACTTTTCAAACTTTGCTACTTAGTATCAGTTTAAAAGCTATCACGTTAATCTGTGCAAGTTGTCATTCCATGATTTTTATGTGACCACTTGTGTACGCCATAGGTTTGTAAGATGAAATGACTCATGTCAATGTAGTTGCAGTACATAGGCGCTCTTCGAAACATTTACTCTTCAGTTTCCTCATTGAAACATTTGGCAGCAGTTACACCATTTGAAAACCGTCATCAGCCCCAGCTGATTTTAGAATGATATAATGTATTCGATTCGCATTAGAGGAGATATTGTAATCTTTTGTTTCTTGACAGTTTCAAAAAATATCGCTCTTCAATATTTTCTCGGTTAGTCAACTTTACATTTCATTTGAGATAACTTGTGGCTGATAGAAGAGCAAACCACCAATATTAGGGAATCTGCTCATATCTCAGTGAAAACTCCGCACTCACATTGTTCGAGAAGCATTCATGTGATAAATATCGAGATTCGATCATTAGGAAGTTGTTTCCTGGACAGATGTAATCTGATCATTTTTATCAATGCACTAATACACTCAAAATGTTCCCAGTTTGTTGCGCAATTTTCTTGAGTCTCCCCATGTTTTCTTCACAAAATCTACATGATTGTTGGTTGAATTTCTTTTGTCAACTCTCTGTATGGTAATTATTCTCACCTTTAAGAATGAGTCCAAGGTAAACACTACAGAATTCTCTTGTCAAGTTTATCAAAGGAACTGAAATTCTGATGACGTCGCACATAGATAGCAAGACTAGTAATCTTCCAATCATCTAGTCCAATGATTGTACAGTTTTATCAGGATGGCATGTAGAGTATAAACTGTCACTTTGGTTACAACAGGTGATCTTCGAAAAGGCGTATGAAATAGGAAATGTCAACATATACAACAGTTGCGAGAAGAGAATAGGATCACAGACAGATCGAATGACCAACAGAGCTATAGGTGAATTGAAAGCTATGGCCCGACAAAGTGGAATAGGCTCAGTCAGACAATCGACCATACACAAACGCAAATGAAAATCGTTCTAGTTGACATGAAGATTGAAAGTCTATCTGGTGGTGTTGATGTAAGCCCTTAAGGCAGTATTGCATCACTCACATCAGTGTGTATTTCTATCTTAGTCGGGATTCAGAAATAATTGTCATTTACAGGGACTTAAAATTTCACTCTTCGTAAGAGGCAGGTGAGAAGAGAACAAGAGAACTACAACGAAATGATTGCGTGTCATGCATCTAAGGTGAGTTTCCTTCGTAATAGGATTAACAAAGTCACAATCTGAGGTCATTCAAGTACAATACAAGCAAACTACTCAGGTGAACCCCATAATTTACTGAATTGACCCTGATACGTGATGTTTGCTCTCAACAGGTCATCTACACAAACACATTTACGCATATATAAGCACGAGTGTGTGATTGAGTTTCGTGTTGATTCAGCTGCTTGTGATAGTGGTTTCGAACGTCTGAGGACGTGTACACAGAGTGAGTCGATTAACGGTGTGGATTTTGTGAGTAGACGATAGTCATTCTCACCAATCGCTTCTATTGTTGTTTCATTCATATTCACATAGATACATCCATTATTTTAACACATACACTTAGCATTCCAAATCATCTCTTATCTATATATTTTCATCCCAACAGAACCACAATGCGGCTAATTGTGTTGTTACTTCTGAGTTTGGTTTTCTATGAACATGTTTTGACTGAACCGTTTCCTGTCAATTTGGACGTTCAAGGTAAGCTAAAATACATGTTTTTGTCCATGCGCTGTGCGATTTTGACAACCGTGCACTTGGGAGTGTTTACTCAGTGACTGACCACTTTTACGTAACGTAAATTCCTGAACATTACGATTTTGAATTTGATAGGCACTACATTACTGTTATATTTGATCTTTGTATTTATATTAACTCATCTACGAATATATTCGATGAAAAAGGCGAGCATTTTCTTGTCATTACTTCCCACTGACTGACGTCTATCACTCACCCTTATCAAACGATATGAACACAAGTGTCGTTAGTTTCTTGTGCAGTGTGAATCTAATTTTGTCAGGTGTCATGGAGGCAGACTAGCATAATAGTTGTGCATTAATATAGGCAGTAATCTGACTTAACGTATTTATGTATGGTTCAGAACATACTCATATCTAATTCTCTGACTATCGTCTCAATGAAAATTAATTGATCACAAGAACATCGAAGTGTCTGCATCTAAAAGACAACCAACATCTTTAATTCAAGCAGGAGTGCGTCGCCATGACGACTGAAAACTCAGGTTACACAATAGCTAGCCTTGTACTTGACCTCATAGTCATATATCTTATTAAACATTTATTTATTTACCCATTTGAATGTCTAGCAGGAATTTAATTTTAAATCAGAAACAGCTCGGCGTATAAGTTAACTAACTCTCATGAAGCGAAACGGAGATTAAGCAGTGTGCCTGAGATGGAGTATGAAATATGACTGAATATGAAAAACTGTATTCAGCGAATAAATATACCTTAAGTCAGGGACATATTTTACATATAGGTGTCCGTTACCTTCGCCTAATATGTTTGGGATGAATCATTAGTAATACCTTTGTTGATCATGACTTTTCTCCATTACAGAACCACCCGTTGCGCAAGAAGTAGGTGACAAGGACAGCAAAATTGTGGGAAACGGTGTGACTGATGCTCCCTCTGTTACTGCTACCATTCCTTCAGATGATGCTGACAGCAGTAGTCAAGATGATCAAGAGAATTCAAACACAGATGGAAATAATGCCGGCAACAGTGAAACTCCGAATACCACAGACAGAATTAATGGGAGTGATTTGAATGCTACAAATGTGAATGCGATGAGTGAACTACTTCGTGGACGCTTTTATGATGATGACAAACATCACAAGTATCATAAACGTCATCACCACATTCGTCGTCATCATGGCTATCACCGCAAATATCCCAAGTACCATAAACGTTATCACCACATTCGTCGTCATCATGGCTATCACCGCAAATATCATAAACGTTATCACCACATTCGTCGTCATCATGGCTATCACCGCAAATATCCCAAGTACCATAAACGTTATCACCACATTCGTCGTCATCATGGTTATCACCGCAAGTATCATAAACGTTATCACCACATTCGTCGTCATCATGGCTACCACCGCAAATATCCCAAGTACCATAAACGTTATCACCACATTCGTCGTCATCATGGCTATCACCGCAAATATCATAAACGTTATCACCACATTCGTCGTCATCATGGCTATCACCGCAAATATCCAAAGTATCATAAACGTTATCATCACATTCGTCGTCACCATTACAACCGCCGTCACTACCGTCATTACGGAAGACATCATGGTTATCGAAGCCACCATCGCAGTTATTATCGTCACTATGGTCGTCATAATGGTGGATATCGCCACCGATCACATTATCGTCGTTCGTCATATGGAAACAGACGTGGTTGATTCGGTCAATAGTGAAATATCTACGACGAAAATGAAGCGTGTTTGTGTATTCAGTGACGTGAAATATCTCCCCCTAGTGTTCTCTTAGTTGCAATTATACCTATTAGTGTTCTTCATCATGATTTATAATTAATCATACTGTAGTGTTATCTCCAAAATATATGTTGTGCTCTTTCAACTTCTTTTGTGTGCTTAACATACTTCAGGTAACAGGCACTGACAAGAGAAACGAAAGAATGTTATTACCTATTATAGTACTGTCTTTTAGACAAATCCTGTACTCACTATCGAACGCGTAAATCTCCTTTTTTGGTTTATACCACTGACAGTTTCCCTTATAAATCCTGTTTAGATTTTCTGAGAGGAAATCCACAAATAGTTTACACTTGAGTGTTTGTACTCGACACAACGCTTCGTTTTGTTGCTTAAGTGTGTGTGTGTGTTTGTCAGATTATTGAGTGATTGAGGTGTTTCAAATGGATAACGGGCTCACAGATGAATGATGTCATGTGAAGAGCGTCATGCTTGTGGTTTTGTTGGGACTGCATTCATGTTGTGTTCCTTGAAATTCACCCCTCATTTTCCAGGTGAAGCGAGAATAAGCTTAACTCCACTTCAGTCTATAATCATATCACTCAAGAGAAAATTTGATTGAGTGAGTGATCTAGAAATCGAATACTCAATAGATTTCAGTTAGGCTTAGTCAAAATATGGGTTGAAATGATGGAATCATTATTATTATTATTATCTAGGCCAAGCATGCTGTGCATGTTTCGCTGACTGCATGATCAGAGGAGAACTGTGACCTATATTCACTCATCACAAGATTCTCATTCAGGTCATTTGAGTTCACACAGTTAATATTTGCCCCACAAAACAATCATGAGATTCAACAAGAAGCACTGAATCGCTTCATTCTAAAATGCATAGACTACATGTCCTCCTGTCGATCCATATGAACTCTAGAATATATATTTGTGAATCACAGCTCAGCTCAGCTCAACTCAGCTCAGTCGATTGAGCTTAAGATGAAGTGAGTCAATGATCACAACAATATCATCATATCTCTGTTGTCTCAATAAGTGTTTTATTTGTTCTAACAACTTTGTTAACCTGATCACTGACTAGTCTGTTCAATCATTTTCAGATTACACATACCTCTCGTCTTCATGCTGCTATCATGCTGTGTGTTGTGTCGCAGGCGTAAGTGTGCATTTGAAAATTTCCCTCTGACTGTAATCATGATAAATACTAATTTTCATAATGATGTTCTATTATTCATATTATACTATGTTTGTTCTGATGCACTGACCAGAGAACGCAAGAATTTCCGTTTGATTCAGTTCAACTTAGTCGATCGAATGCCTGCATACTTCTTCCTTGAATTTTTACTCATCGTAGGAGTGTATTCGTGGGATGCTACTCAACCAACCATGGTAGTGTGATATTTGATAGGGAGTTGATCTTCAAATTCACTGACACTCAAAAATAAATACTGTCTCATGAATAGTCCGCACACTGTGATCTGAGAATCAGTAATCAACTGGTTCAGCGAAAAGACTCATTCCTGTGAGTTCATCTCCTCTACATGGTCGATTGCATTCGCACATAATAATTGATGAGATTGTGTGTTCAAAGAAGTGGTCAGTTGTCAAAATCATATCTGTTTATATGAATGCTTAAATCAGTTAATGAAAATAGGGTTGTTAGATAAGGGTAATGAGGTGAATATTTGAATGAACGAGTGGTAGTCAGCATGTGCATGGAGGCCAGGTGAAATTTACATTATGTATGGGTTCACAGGAAATGCAGGCGTAATAAAGCCAGTGGTCATGACTACAGTTGGTTTCAACTTTCTTCCTCACATTGCTTTGTTGTATATCACGGTATTATTCATGATTGTTTCATCACAATACCACCAATCATCCATTAGTGGTTCTTATCGACTCACCCGAGAAACATCGTTCACCTCACGAGAGTACCCACCATGAAAATTGAGGTAAGTGCTATCAGTGGATAATGATAATGGTAAAACGCCTTCAACTACCCTGGACAAATTAGAAGTGAAGGATTACAAGTGAAGACGTCTACAAACAGAGTTCTTCATGTTCTCACTGAGTGAGATGACATTAAGAAATTAAGCGTTATCGAGAAAACAGCATACCTTCTTGTCTTTCATATTCGTGTCCACAACACAAGCATCAGTTTCGAAAGTACCTTGCAATGACAGCCTTCACAAGTCAGTGTGAGATAGTTTGAAACTACTAGCTAATCGTCCTGCCATTTTGTTTTTGAGAGAATTTCTCACTAAATCCACCGTTTAGAATACTCTTGGCACTAAGGAACTATAAATATCATGAATTTTAGTCAATCGACAGAGAAGTCGAGGCCTGAGTTCCATAGATTTTAAACAGTTCATCTTCTGTCTATTCATGGTATTCAAACTGCACTGGTCTACTAGATGAAGTTATGTTTACCTTTCCAGTGATAATATATGATTTGATGGAAAGTCAGTCGTTAATTCGTCTCCATCACAAGGAATGCATAATATTTTATAATCATGATCATATCGATTCCATACGACTACAAAGGATAGTTTGTAAGGAACCAGCACAATTTCGTCAGATCTATAACTCATTTTGTTTCGGGGTTTGCGTGTTGCTCGAGGTCAAACTGCTTGTCGACATCGACCTGAATCATGGAATTGGTAGGCACTGTCGACATTTTGAGACTTTAGCCAACTGAAGTTATCTAAAGTGGGAGGAATTGAGGGAGTCTATTAGTCAGAAGGATGCTTGAATTAAAATTATTGTTTGGTGGAGTAGAGAAATTGAATCTCACATATAGTATGCATGTCAGGATCAAATACAAACGGCTATTACTGCAGCATGCGGGTAAATGTCATCTACTTCTTCAATTATCTTCTTACAGATAGAGTGCGAAAATTTGTACAGTTGATATGACAAATTGCGTTTCGATGGTTTCGAAAGTAATACTTCTATAACATCGGATTATCGTGCACGGATTGAAGGCACAGTTTAATCTACCTCATTCGAGAACCACAGTTATATGATGACTCACGTGACATAATAATATAAGATGCGAACTTGGGATAATCAATTGTGGTTGGATGTTAATCAGTGAACCCTCATTGGTGCATTCCATTACTGAGATTACTTTCATGGAAATAATAGTGGATGTGTAAATATAATGCCCTGTGTACACAAGCGAACAGGGTGTCCCCTGAGTATGAAGGCATCTTGTTTCTTGTTCACAGACACTTGTATCAAGGGAGGTATTCCAAATAGCCTGTCACAAACGTGAAATGTTTGAAAGAGTCAACAACACACTGACACATCGTGCAAATCACGTCAGGTCAAATGTATTTGCAGAGAAGATTCATTCTTGGTAGTGAGGATGGGTTTCACATCATAGCCTCTGAAGCTGGTGGCGAACTGAGTCAGGTTATCACTACTCATCCATAAAGATGTGACATTCGTGAACTGAGATTAGACTTGAGAGAAATTGGGCGTATTTAGACAGTACTACTGAGTGATAATTAATAATCATTGATTTGTACATGAATGAAAGGCGTAAGACAGGAAATGTCAGAGGTATGAGAAACCAAACAATTGTCATCCCCAGTCTTAGCTGTGTAACATCAATATCACTTCAGAGATAAGTTCGAAATGATTGTCATCTGATAAAACATGCTGATAACAGTTGTGTATTCACATCGATCAACTGCTCTCTCACTTACTCAGCTAACTAACAGAGGTATCATGCACGCGTTTTTTGCTTGACAAAATTCGAAATCACATTCCTATAAATTTCCACTCACAAAGTACTTTCATTGTTTTCTCTTCCGGAAATATTTTCACCAGAATTTCCAGCGAATTTTCCTATATCTGGACAATATTCATTTTGGTCACCATGGTTCACAAATCAATGGTATTATCCACCTCAGTGTATTCGTGATTTTTATGGTCGTATCTGGTGTCAGTGGAGTCCATACTGGTCATATTATCCACCTTACCCAACTTATCCACCAACGTCCGGTTCCATTCCCGTAAACAGTAATAATCTGAAGAAGGAATGAAGACAATAACGACAAGCGAATGAAGATGCCTTTTCGATGGCTGTCGATTCATTCATTACTCAAAATACATACCATTTGATGAGATGCATGCATCTGTGTTCAAATCAACGAATAAAATATTCTGTGCGACTGGCTCACATTTTACTCAATATAATCAATGAATTCACGATTGACCACTAAGGGCTAGTTGTTTCCTTTTTCTGAAAAGCACTCGATGATCAAGTCTCCTGAAAATCGTAAAATTTTCATGGTTTACTTACTATTATGTAGGTTATCCTTGTCATACTCTCTTATCAAACAGTTTGTTGCTGAAAGACTTCTCTAAGCAACAGGCCATATATTCAGACAAGTGTGAGAGGAGTTGTCTTTCCGGACGATAAATGTATCCACTCACAATAATACACTCCGGTTGATACATACAGTTAGATGTTCCAGGGATTTCATCATCGAATCCACTTTGAGTCAATAGTTACTTCTTTCAAATTCGTCGAGAATCGAATCATCACATCATTGTATGATACTGGTTACCTCAGTGTTAGGTGTGAGTCAGTTGAACGCTAATTTTATCCATTATTGATACAGAAGTGTAAGCCTCGTGATACAGTCTGTAAATCCCTCATTTAGTACCGTATTCTGTTTCGAAGTCTCTATTCCAGGAGACTGGAGTCTGAACCTTAACGTCAATATTTTTATCATTGTGACTTCATTGACGCGTGGAAGATGGAATTTCATCACTATCCAATGCAACTTTTCTCTGCAAATGACGAATATTTAATCTTGTGAAAATATGGAGTATATAGTTCAATCGAAATCGCAATATTTTTGAGACAAGCTTTTCTTCCAGTAATAAACACTATTCTGATGACTGAATAGAAGATTCC